AATTAAGTGGTATATGAAATTTAAATAAATTACCTATTCGAAAATTTGAAATGATGCCTATGTACCATGAAAATAACTTTCAGATACACTATAATAAATTTAGAATTTGATTAGGTAATTTTTTCAACATAAAAGAGCCTAAACTTCTGAATTTAGCATTTATCAAAAAACTCGATTTTTCCCTAGGTGTTAACCCACATATTTAGAGAAAAATTAGAAAATATGAAAATTTTGTTTTGATGCATATTTGCATTATTCACTAACATAATATGAAGTTTAAAGAGGTTTGAGACCTTAGGTATTCAGTTGACAACAGGTAATTTATTTCAAATTTTCAAATTTTCAACAGGTAATTTATTTAAATTTCATATACCACTTAATCAGTTGACAAACCCCCTATAAAAAAAATATTTTCTAGAGAAACATGAACACCTAAGCCTCAAACCTCTTTTACCTTCATACTATGTCAGTGAATGATGCAAATATGCATTAAAATTAAATTTTTCTTATTTTCTAATTTTTTCGAAATGTGTGGGTTAACAACCCCTATGAAAAAAATCGAGTTTTTAGATAAATACTAAATTCAGAAGTTTAGGCTCTTTTTTTGTTGACAAAACAATTACCAAATCAAATTATAAATTTATATTAGATTATGTTAAAATTGTTTTCATGGTACATGGGCATCATTTCAAATTTTCCAACAGGTAATTTATTTAAATTTCATATACCACATAATAAGTTGATAAACCCCCTATAAAAAAATTCTATTTTCTGGAGAAACATGAACACCTAAGGTCTCAAAATTCTTTAACCTTCATACTATGTCAGTGAATGATGCAAATATGCATTAAATAAAATTCATATTTTCTAATTTTTCTTGAAATATGTGGGTTAACCCCTATGAAAAATTCGAATTTTTTGATAAATGATAAATTCAGAAGTTTAGGCTCTTTATTGTTGATAAAAAAATAAATAATCAAATTCTAAATTTATATTAGATTATGTTAAAATTATGTTCATGGTACATGGGCATCATTTCTTGTATTTTAGTGAATAATTTAATAAAACTTCATATTTCACCTAATTAAATGGACTAACCTCTATAAAATCTGTATCTTTTGGAGAAACAGAGACAACTAAGGTCACACACCTCTTTAATCTACATTATATGTCAGCGCATGATGAAATTATGCATGAAAACAAAAATTTAATATTTTCTAATTTATCTTGAAATGTGTAGGTTAACCCCTACGAAAAGATTGAGTTTTCTAATAAATGCTATACGTACTAAACTTTAGCCTCTTTCGTGCTAAAAAATAACTAACCACACTCAAAATTTATATTAATGTATGATAAGCTTATTTACTTAGTACATGGACATCATTCCTAATTTTCCAACTTGTAATTTATTTAAATTTCATATAGCACTTAATCAGTGAACAAACCCCCTATAAAACTTTATTTTATGGAGAAACATGAAAACCTAATGTATCAAACCTCTTTAACCTTCGTACTATGTCACTGCATGATGCAAATATGCATTAAAACAAAATTTTCATTTTTTCTAATTTTTCTCGAAATATGTGGGTTAACCCTTACAAAAAATCAAGTTTTTCGATAAATGCTATATTAAGAAGTTTTGGCTCTTTATTGTTGATGAAAATTATCCAATCACATTTTAAATTTTTATTAATGTATGTTAAAAATATTTTCATGGTACGTGAACATTATTTCAAATTTTCCAATAGGTAATTTATATAGAAATTTGCACTCCTACCAAAGAAGTTTGCCATAATTTGCAAAATACCAAAGAGGAAAAACACACCTTGCTGTACACAAACCAAATGACTTTATTATCCTTTTCTGAATTCCCCTTTCACCTGACCAACTCCACCGGGCAGCACACATGTTTCGACGGAAGAGTGAGAGATACACAAGATATTCCATATCTTTATTGTCAGTACCTTTCTTTCTCTTTCATCTTTCATCTTTCATCTTTCATCTTTCATCTTTGTTTCTCTTTCTTTCTCACCTACAAACGATTTGTTCTTGAAAAAATTATAAAACTTGGAACTGGAACTCCGAAGATTGATGAAGTTTTTTTCTTTGTTGCAATTCTCTTTTGGATTTGACAGAAATGATACATCACTTAATTATTTTTCAATTTGAATAAAGCTTGACAACGTATTAGACATGAAATATAGTTGCATTATCTGGAAACAAATTTCTTAACTTATTACTTATTTAGTGTTTACATCATCAAAATTTTAGTATCTGGTTAATCAATATATATATATATATATATGCGACGTATATTTGTTAGCCGTCTATACTATTCTTTTTATTTAGAATGCCATATTTTCGTACCCACATAGGTGTTTAAAAAATATTTTTCAATTTAAATAAGAAATGTTACCTAGTTTGACAACATATTAAACATGAAACATAGTTGAATTACTCAGAAACATAATTTCTTAACTTATTTTTTATAATGTTTACACTAACAAAGTTTTTTGTATCTGGTTAATCCATCTAATAGATGTGCAACATATATTGGTTAGCCGGCTAAACTATTTTTTCACGTAATCTTAAATCGTAGCTGTCAAGTGGCCGAAGCTATCCAATATTTATATGTTCTGGGTATTAGACGAGTACTTAAGATTTAGGAGCAATTGTAATATATGGGATTTGTGTTAAGGAATTAGGGTTGGGAGATATCCAAGGGTTTGGGTTTAAGAATTAGGGTTTAGGGTTTTGCTTTTAAGGTTTAGGTGATACGTTGTACTAGTTCAGGTTTTAAGACTCGAGGGTACATGGTTTCCCCGTTTTTTTAGGTTTATACTTGACAATTTGCTAATGAGTAAAAGTTTATATGTGACGTTATTTATAATCGTATCCGGCTATGCAAGTTATTATCCATCTAATATGAACTTGTAGTCGGCCAAGTGACTGAAGGTATCCTATATTTATCTGTTAGGGATATTAGATCAGTACTAAGAGTTTCACCATTCAGGAAATTGATTGAGATCGTTGAGAAACCTACTTTAATGATTTAGGGTTTAGGATTTAGATTGAATCGTATCCGGCTATGCTAGTTATTATCTATGTAATATGAATTTGTAGCCGGCCAAGTGACTGAAGCTATCATATATTTATCTGTTGGATAAATTAGATCAGTACTAAGGTTTTACCATTCAGGAAATTGATTGAGATCGCCGAGAAACATACTTTAATGATCTAGGGTTTAGATTTAATCGTTTCCGACTATACTAGTTATTATTTATGTAATATGAACTTATACCCGGCTAAGTGGTTGAAATTATCCAAATGTAGCAATAATCTTATGTCAGAGACAAGAGACAAGTGGGAAATCTGGGAAGGCAAAACATCCATCGGACAGGACAATTTCGTCTTTTTAACACCATTACAGTGGCCACGTGCACCCTACTTTTCTTCTCTTTGGTATTCTCCTAATTTTGCAATCTTTCTTTGGTTTTCACCTAAATTGCTCTAATTTATATAAATTTCATAAACCACTTAATCCGTGGACAAACCCCTATAAAAAAATTTAGTTTCTAGAGAAACATGAACACCTAAGGTCTCAAACCTCTTTAATATTTATACTATGTCAGTGAATGATGCAAATATGCATTAAAACAAAACTTTCATATTTTCTAATTTTTCTCGAAATATGTGGATTAACCCCTACGAAATAATCGAATTTTTTTATAAATGCTAAATATAGAAGTTTATGCTCTTTATTGTTGATAAAGAAAATTACCTAATCAAATTCTAAATTTATATTAGTGTATGTTAAAATTATTTTCATGGTATATGGACATGATTTCTAGTATTTTAGTGAATAGTTTAATAAAATTTTATATTTCACATAATTTAGTGGACTAACGCCTTATAAAATATGTATATTCTGGAGAAACAGGGACAACTAAGGTCAGACACCTCTTCAATCTTCATCATATGTTAGTTCATGATGAAATTATGCATGAAAACAAAAATATCATATTATTAACTAAGGAAAAAATCAATTAGACATATTTATGATGTTGCCACCATATTAAATCTTGGTTTGTATATATGCCATGCATTAACATAAAAATCGTGTAATTATAAACATAATGTGAAATATTGGATGGTTTTCACCATATGACACATTTTATTTAGCTGGCAAACTGTTTTCTTTATTTATATATATGATAATAATTCTATATCATATAAATACATGTACACGTTTATATGCAGAGCCCCATGTACACATGTCCAACTTAAGATTCAAATACATGCGCTATATTTTGAGTTTATATGACGAATTTACGGAAACTATACTAATACGCCTAGAATATGATCTTCGTCCGCATACAACTTTATCATTAACCTTTATGCCTCTCTGGTGAACATAGTTGTGACTGACAATTATTGGAGTAAAGTAGTGGAAATGTAAAGGTGAAAATGGGAGTAAAAAGAACTGTCAAATCCAGCTTTATATTTTCATCTATCAAAAGTTGAAGGAACATTTACCTCTACTTTTCTCACCTTGTTAGAGTAAATGAATTGAAATCTTTTCCACTTGACTGGATAAAATCAGAGTAAATAGGCCAAAATACATTTCCACTTACTTTATTTATCGCTAATGATACCATGCAGTCATAATATGATATTATCAGGAAGATAACAATGGAACCTTTTGTAAGATCTATCAGTGACAAAGACAAGCCATCATGGACTGTTCACGAGCTCTCGACCGTGGATGAGCCACGACGTGGCTTATTTTTTCACCTGAGACGTGTCAACATCTCCTTAGCCCTCCTCTTTCTTCCCTTTAGTATTCTCTGTCTCTTATTTTCCTTATAAATACTAAATACCGGGTAAAACACTTTTTGTGGTGTCGTCACTTTACTCCTTCGTACTTTAATATCCCTCTCTCTAGCTATTGACTTTAGGAGTCTAGTGAAGTGAGTGAAACTTAGTTAAGCCATAGTCGCTGGCAATAAGGATGGGACGAGCGCCATGCTGTGAGAAGGTGGGAATGAAGAAGGGGCGATGGACGGCAGAGGAAGACCAGATTCTCTCTGACTACATCCGGTCCAATGGCGAAGGCTCGTGGCGTGCTCTTCCCAAAAATGCCGGTACTAATATATATACACGCTTTCTCTTGATCGAATGCATATTGTATTAGCATCTTCTCTTAATCCTTTTTTGCTTGAGGAAAGTTAGTTTGTCTCGCGTTTAACACTACACATGAGATTAAGTCTAGTAGTTAATCGGTAGATGCTGTCTGGCCCTATATACATGAGATTAATAAATAATATAATTGTGAATCAACGATATGTAAACAACATTCTAATATTTGTTAGAAAATCCCCAATAATATACCCCAAAACTGCAACTGAACTATACATAATCATAAATAACTTAGGTATTTGTGTTAAATTTTTGAAAACTTTCAGTGATTTGCTTAACAATAATCTATAATAAAGGTTGCTTAGCATGATAAATTCCAATAACATTATTTCGAATCAACTGTTAAAAAGGGCTGAAAAGATGTGGAAAGAGCTGTAGATTGAGATGGATAAACTATCTGAGGTCAGACCTCAAGAGAGGAAACATAACACCCGAAGAAGAGGACCTCATTGTTAAGTTGCATTCTACTTTGGGAAACAGGTAATCTTATTTGTTTGAGTAGAATTTAATTTTATAGAATATATATGACATCATTTTATTTTCCAGTAGGACGTATGCATGTACTTGATAAGTAATTAAGCTAAAATCAACTGGTAGTTGAATTACGCCGTTGAACAATTAATACCTTTCGCTGTCCAATTTATCGTTTGTTTTAGTTGAGACAAAACGAGTTTTAAGCACTTCTTATCTAAAGATTCGCAATTAAATAGTCAAATATCACTGATCATTAATATTAATGACATTCAGACTTTTCTTACTAATAGTTTTGTTGTCAAGTGCAAATCAATACGTTTCTATATCAGAAAACACATTTACGAAAATGTACTACACGTCGATTAAGTACTAATTTAATAACTAAGTATAGTAATAACGTTAACACTTACTGCAGGTGGTCGATAATTGCGAGTAAGCTACCAGGAAGAACAGACAACGAAATTAAAAACTATTGGAACTCTCACCTCAGCCGTAAACTCCACAATTTCATCAAGAAATCAACCGTGGCTAACATCGTGGTTAATGTTCATCCCCATCCCTCTATGCCGCCGCCTAATCGTAGACCCGGAAGAACCAGCAGATCGGCCATGAAACCCAAATTTACTTCAAACCCTGAAAACAGCAAAAACCCTGCTAATAATCATGTGAAGGCAAACCAAAACAACGTTGATTTGCCCATGGCTACAAAGAAGAATGGAGAAGAAGGCGAAAAAGAGGCATTAAATGTGTTGTCAAGTTGTAGCATGAGTGGAGCCGAGAGAGCTGGTTTGGTACCACGTGACTACGATGGTTATTGTAACAAGAGCATTAATGAGGACGATGGAGTTTTGTGTTTCAATGACGACATCTTTGATACTTGTTTTCTATCGAACGAGTCTGATGCTGTGAACGTGTTCCCATCTGAGTCGAACAATCTAGAGGACTCCAACCAAAAGAAAGGGTTCGCCGCTAGTCATATAGACACGATGGCTGATGGTTTCATTGACTGGGACTATGTTTGTGGAGATGGTCAATCCATTTGTGACGATGGTTCGGTTTTCTCGTGGCTGTTAGAGGGTGAGAAATTGGAATCTAACGGCTTCGGAGAACCGTTGGATATTGACGAGGAAAACGCGATGTTTGCATGGCTTTTTTCTTGAAATATTTGGCTACCTTTGGATCTTATAGCATAGGTCCCACCTTGCATGTTACAAAAACAGTATGTATGTATGTTGCTTTTCTTCTGGCGTAAATACGGCTTTTGGCGGTTACAAATAAAAACTTTAATAAAGCCGAACTTTTTCTATAAATGCATAGGTTGTTGGTAAAAGGGTCCATCATATTTATTTCCAGTAAATGCTAGTAATAAGCTAGCTAGTAGCCATTACTGTTAGTCTGTAATACTACTGTTTAAAGGCGTGGCGCCGTGTTGTACTGTCCATTGGATCATCGACTTATATACTCTCTCCGTTCTCAAAAGTAAAATTTTCTAGTTTTTTATTTTTGTTTCTCAAAAACATATTTTCTATATACTTCAAGGTATTTTTGCATACTTTCAAAAAACATTAATTGGATATACTTAAATTGATTCAATACTATTGGTTGGAAATTTATTGTATTTTTAATAAACGTGAACATTCTAGAAAATCATCGACTTATATACTCTCTACGTGAATCCGGATCCCGGATAAAAGTCCCATACTCTCTTAGAGCATGTTTATTGGGAGGATGCTTAAGGGGGTGTTTAGAGAAGTGAGGTGCTTAGTTTTGAAGAGAGAAAGTGTTGAAAGTGCTTAATTAAGTACTTTCAACACTCTCTCTCTTCAAAACTAAGCATTTCACTCCCTTAAGCACCCTCCCTAAGCACCCCCAATAAACATGCTCTTTATACACAGTTATTTATTAATTTGTACTGCTATGTTTCTGCTGTAACCTGTAATGGGCCCAATGAGACAAAGCCCATTAAACCATATAATTAGCTCAATTGATAAGGCCCATTAACAGCTTCATGGCCTCGTTTCTTACTGTTCCTTCCGCGTTCGAGGATCCCTGCTCTTCCTCCCTTTCTTCCCGACGGCGATGTTTGCGGCGAGAGTACGAGGTTCCCTTAAACCTTTGCTCAACGGAAGACTTAGCTCCTATCTAAGCCGAAACTGTAAGTTAACTCGTTACTCTTTCATGTATTTATAAACTTTAGAATTCCTGGAAATGAAGTTTCTACAAATGGCTAATTAGGTGTTTTGCAGGTGAAATTGTAGCGAATTCGAGGCGTGTTTTACTTGATAGGTGAGGTTTTACTTACATCTTCAAGGCTTTTGGTTAGCATAGACTTGTCTTGATGGGGTTTAAGATATTATTTAGCTTGCAAAAAATAGAGCTTTAATGCATAAAAAAAAAATAGAGCTTCTTTTTGGCACACAAACAAAAAAATTGAGCTTCTTCGTGTTGGTAGATTCAAGGATGGTGATGGGACTCTGACTAGCTTGCGGTTACAGTGTTATTCCTCGGGATCTGATGTTGGTACGCTTTGTTAACCATAACTTGTATGATTTGTGTAAAAAAGGATTACAAAATGTGTGGGGTTTTGAGTCTGTCTTCTTCTGTGAAATTTTGCAGGAGTGAAAGCTCAAGCAACTATGGATGATTTATTCTCAGAGCTTGGTTCTGTGAAGGAAGACAGGGACCTTAATGTGGTTATGGAGATTTTAACTAAGATGCCTGAGTCTTTCCAAGTTGAGAAACCACAGCTTTCTCAGGTACCACCTTGAATCTGTTCTTGGTTAACTGCAAAATCAGTTTGCATTCACTTTGTCCTTATGATGGTCAGCTTGGTGCTTTTAGTAGCAATGTTTTTATACAAACAGCTTGCACCTTCTTTTAAGTGAGCTGGGTTTGTTTTGTTTTTTTAACCAGAAAACTAAAGGCAAGAAGAAGGTTAATAAGAAGAAGACGAAGCAGGAACAAGTTTCTGATCCAGTTTCCAAGCTGAAGTTGTTGACAGAAAAGCCTGAAGCTTCTTGGGTATGTATACATTTTTTAAAACTTTTATTTACCGGTGTTCAAGGTTAAGAGCGCACTGTCATTTATTTGATTCTGACTAGACTTTAAGCAGAAATGTTGTTTTGTTTGATTTACAAAGATTTAAAGAAATGCTCTTAACTGTACTGAGTCTACTTTCTTTATCAGAATACTAATGGCAAGAGCAAGACCGACACACGTGCTTCTTCACCAGCAAAAAATGTTACGGATTCATCCTCCAATACAACTGAGTCATCGTCTCCAATTCCAGATAGCGAATCCAAGGCTCCAAGCATAATCAGTCCCAGTTCCAAGGCCAAAAACAAAACTAGCTCCAATGGCTCTCCTACCTCTGATACACCCTCAAACCATCCTTCTTCGGTCTTGGTCATAAGGATTAGTAATCTTAACTCGAAGACAGCTGATTCAAAGATACACTCAAGGTGCTCGTCCATTGGCTCTCTCGAGGGGCTTGCTAGGGTTAATGAGGACAGTGTTGAGGTTTCCTTTCGAGCTAGAAGCATGAACGAAGCAAAGTCTATTCTGGAAAAGTGAGTAAAAAAAACTGAAGCTGTTTGGTTCTTGATTTATAATCCTTGAAGCTGTTGTTGCATTACACTCTTGTTAACGTCTCTTTCCAGGCTAAACAAAGCAACGGTAGACCATTCTCAGTGGACGGCTGAGATTGTACCAGAATCTGAAGAATCTTCTAAAGATCAAATAGGTATGAGCATCAGTAGTTCTTTCGAAGATGTGAAAAAGCAACTAATAATGCGACAGATTCTTGTGAAAGACTTGGAAGTTTTGATGCACTCGATAGTACATCTGGAGAATCATCCAATGGCTCGTGTAGGAAGGAACTAAAAGCTTTACAATGGTCTCAAGAAGCCTAATGGCGCTTTTGCTTATTTGTCAAGTCTATTGTTCCCTTGATAATTGGAATGAAGTTCTTGATGATTGTTCTTATGGGTTAATGGGTCTGCGTAGTAGAGTTGCTTTCGGCCTAATTTTGTTAGACCTGTTGATAAATGTTAAAACCCAATTTTTGGGCAATGTTAAGCCCATTGAAACTACTACATTTTCAAGAAAAAATTATCTCAAATTTTTCTCAAAATATGATATCAGTAGTTATTAAGAAAAAAATAATTAACGTTTGCCATTTTAAAAATAAAATATATATATAAGTTCCTGACAGTATTGGTTTAGAGCACCATTAATGGAGGTTGTTTAAAGAGTTGCTTAAGAGGAGAGGGTTGCTTATTTTGAAGAGAGAGAGAGTGTGAAAATTGCTTAATTAAACAATTTTTACACTCTCTCTCTTCAAAATAAGCAACCCTCTTCTCCTAAGCAACCTCCATTAATAGTGCTCTAATGGAAATAAAAGAATTATAGAAAGTTCCCACACAGAAACAGTGAGAAAATCAGATCAGCACAGCTAAGTGATGAGGTGAACAGTTGCAGTTAATAGAAAGCTGTTGACGATTGATTGAAGTGACACATCCCACGTCTCTTTCCGCCACTTGAAAATATGTTTCCTTCCTCTCTCAATTAATTCGATTAATCTCCTGCTTATTTTTGAGTAACAATTATAAATACTATGATATGACATGGGACTGAAGATTCTTCATAATTAAAAAATATCTCCTATGCGTTAAAAAAGCATTAAGGTCCCATGACATGACTGTCTTTAATGTAAATCTGGCCCAAACAATTACTATCATTGGAGTTTTATGGAGGAGAAAGGAGTGAGATTCTCAACTTTTCAGAGAAGTGGGTCATGTTAAGGTATGGACCTCCTCTGTTCTTAATACTCATCTGCTCTTAAGAGACAACTCACGTGGCTTTCTTTTTCTAATAATCTCACACAATAAAAAAATCAGAGAAGTTGTAGATGTAGCATTGGGCCCAAAATGAAGACAAGCTCATGTGGGTTGGATCGTATTTTGCAGATAGATAAGACAGCTAAATATGTTTTTAGTGTGATGTGCGGTGTGGATCTTCTTAAGGTCGCTATACGTGCACGTAATCTCATTTAATATTCTGTTCCTTTTCGACGACAACCATTGCCGCAGCCGTGGCAGCAGAAAACGACACCGTTGCATTATTTGATAAACTCGTTATTAATTTTCTTTCCAGACAAAAAATCATTACTGTTAGGTACATATGGAGTTTTCTGCAACCATGTTTTGTGGAGCAGAAGCCATTTAAAAAAAAAAAATACACACCATAACCCCATATAGGAAGGAGATTAGCTTCACGATTTGACATTAATCCAATTAATCATAGAATATTATGTATTCCGAAATTATTTTAGGTCTTAGTATTCTTATTCGAACAAAAATTAACTTGGCCTAACATGAACTTTCTATTTCCAGTAAAAGATCATATGGGAACAACTAAAAGTATGATAAGCAGATCTCTTGTTAATCAAGTCAGTGTAAAGACAAAAAGTCCACACATTATTACTCAGGGTAGGGTTCCTATCACCAAGATATGATGTATATTGTTTACTTTAATCAAGTCTAAAGTTAACAACTTAATATCCAAAATAAAAATCCAAAGGAACGAGTAGATATTTTAACTATAAAAGCATATATAATATTATAGCAAAATGGCAATTAGATAAGACTTGAAAGATGTAGTTTCAATCACCAAATGTTTAATAAAGACAAACCCCAAGTGTGGGCATCATAGATGAAGAAGATGCTCTCTCTTAACTCAACACACATCAATCCAATAAACAAACAGCTCACTCATGGCCCCCAAACTTATTTTATTTATCATCTTCTCTCTTCTGCAGATCTCACAGAGTACTAACCATAAACCATTAAACCCCACCACCATTGTTGTTTCTTAACCTTAACAATAATAAAAGTCACAAAGGTATTACAACAACATCACTGTAAAAAAATTTGACTCTACAATCATTCCCAAAAACCACAGAGAATAATTATTAGTAATCAAAAATCTAAAAACAGAGTTGCGATGATCTTTCTTACATATACTATTTATAACTTACTGAATCCATAAACCTATACATAAAAAAAAAACACTTGCTTAAACAATAATAATTAATTAATCTAAGACTTTAACCGGATGAAACCGGGTTTAAGCTTCGTGCTAAACCGTTTAACGCACTGTAACCTTTGGAACTGAACCCTAAACATCCGAAGAGTCCATGCCTATACGGCAAGTAAGTCCTCTTCTTCATCTCCTCCGCTTGTGCTCTGTTCGTTGTGTAATGCACCTCGTGAGCCGACGGCTGCAAACCTCGCCGTTTCGCTATCCCGTTAGTCGGTTTTCCGGCGACCGGAGACTTCTTCGCCGGTTGTTTCTGTTTCTGCTTCTTGCTCTCGACGGCTGCGTTCTCTGCTTCCGTTTGAGATTTGAGTTTCTTGTCTTTGAAGTTGGAAGGAGAGAATGAGATGTTTGACCAGAACTTCTCCTTGCTGTTTGCTCTTCCTTCGCTTTTGCTACGGTGAAGCAGATCCTTGATGAATATCCATTTCTTCGAGTTTCTTCCGTAAGAGGAAGACCGAGATGAAGAAGCTGAGCAAGACGGTGTCGTTTCGGCTGACGTCACGTTTTCGTTATTACTCTTTGTTTCTTCTTCGTAGTCTTCTTGTAACTTCCTTATTATACACTCTTTCACCTCACTCTCTCCAACGACTCCAACTTCCTCCTCCTCGTTCCATTGAAACGCTGCGTTTCGGAGTGGAGATAGAGATCTCGCTTTCCGGTGAACAGATCTGCTTCTCAGCTTCAGATCTCTCCCTCTCCTACTCACACCACCGTCTCCCTTCACCTCTTCGTCATCTTCTTCAAGATCTAGAAGCGGCGATAAGATCTGAGGCCTCTGGAGGTGAGAAGAGAGCTTCATCGGCTTGATCTGACCGTTAGAGAAAAGCTCCTCCGCGGAGGTCATCGGAACTCCTCCCAAAGGACCGCTGCTCGAAGACAACCGCGAGGAGAAATCGAACTCGAAGTCTCCTCCGGGAGAAGAAGAAGACGAGTCGATCTTCGATTTCTCCGATGAAGCAGCGGAGGAGGAGCACAAGACGTAATGCATCGGACTCGACGGTGCGCTGAAGAAATAACACGGCGGAGGAGGACCACGGCCGGGACTTGACGGAGCGCTGACGAACGGCGTGGAGCAGGCGGAGCCGAGGTCGTCGCTGAAACGCGGATCGATTGTGTCTGACTCTTCATGACTCTTCATGATCAGAGAGAGTAAGGAAGATAGTGACAGTGGCTTGTTTCTCAAGAAAACGAATTTTTCTGAAGAGAACAGAGAGAGAGCGCGAGAAGCGAGGTGAGATGAGGGAGGGAGGGAGCAGGTGATGATGCTATGCAGTGTATGTATGTATCAATCTGCTCTTTTATTCTTGAGTATTTATTGACGCTTTTTTTATATACATTAATAGTGCGATTCTCAAAAACTTTATTATTCGTATGCTATTCCCCTATAAAGAACAGTAAATTACGATGTACTCGATCTTTTTGCAAACATTTAAATAATCCTGTAAGCATCTGACATGTTGTCTGCATGAATAAAAAGTTTTATAAAATCTACTCAAATAATAAACTTTATTGTTTTTTTACGTGGTTTTTATGATTTGATTATGTAGGTAATGGTATGGTTGTTGTTGCTGCTTAGGATTCTGCAGGCTGATCCAATATAATAAAGGAGAAGAATCTACGGATGTCTTTGGAAATTACAATGTTATTTATCAGTTCTACCCTTTGATAAAAATATAAAAGATTTTCATAATAATACAGGAACGTTCAATGAGAAAAACAAACTAATAGAAATAAGAGTGATTTGCATAGAAAATAGTCAATAAACAAGAAATTTGCAGGATGGAAAAATGATATGGGACCCAACAATAATAGACGCAGAAATACGATAATAACCCTATTGCTCTCTCTCTCTCTCACTCTCCTTCTTCGTTCTCTCTCTTCCTCCTCTGTAAACCAGAAGCATATTTTCTTGAACAGAAATAAATTATCACACTAAATCATCGTTCATCTCTCTCTCCAAAAAATTAATCACTTATATTCACTGCCACAAATTAACATTGATCCAAATTGATCAAAATCTCTCTCATGCAAACCAGCCAATTTTGGATGTGTTTATACGGCGACGCATGGACACACAGAAGTTGAAAACACACAAACTTTGTTTAACAAAAAGCTCTTTCACTTCGCACACTTCAACAAATGCTTTCTTTCCAACCAGTACTATCCACCACCACCACCGCCACATTACCGTCATCAATTATCACTTTCGATGAGTCAGTTCAGAAGACGGGTCAGTCCAGAAGATAAGAGTCTATTATTGGTGAAATACTAATTCTTAATTGTTACCATAAGATGGAAATGTATTCTATTTTTCTGATAATATAATTTTTGAAATAACCGGTTAAGATTTTACTTTACTTTGTTTTGTTCTAGTTAGCAGGTATTATATATTATTATCTCAATATTATTATAGTTAGCCTGTAATATATACAATTAATGATATAATTTAAGGTGTTAGGAAGATAACACTATATGTACAAGATTTTAAAGGCGTGCAATAAATTGAGGAAGCCACACTAAGCTTATGGTGGCGTTATTATTGGATGTAAAAATTTGCATATACAGCTAAATATAATTTTACAAATAGCCAGCTAAGATCTTAATTGATTTTTTTGTTTTAGTTAGCCGGTATTATATATTATTATCTCGATATTATTATATTTAGCCGGTAATATATACTAATTAATGATGTAATTTGTGATATAATTTTAGATGTTCGGAAAATAAAACTATATGTGCAAGATTTTTATAGGTGTGCAGTAAATTGAGGAAGCCACACTAAGCTTATGGTGGCTTTATTATTAGATGTAAAAATTTGCATATATGGCTAAATATGATATTAGCTTCCTAATTTACAACACCATATAATTTAAAAAATTGTTAGTCGGTTAAAAAATTCTAAATAGAACTAATTATTTTATTAGCTGTCGTTTGTAAACTGTACAAACTTAGAGAACATTGTTATATGTCACTAGATGTGTTAACATGCTAACAATGTCACAAAACAGGCTAATAATGCCACAATAATGCATAAACAGATAAATGATTATATGCTATTAAAATTGTTAGCAATCTAACACCGGATTTTTAGGCTATTAAATATGTTACCCGTCTAACAGTAAATCATAACTATGTTAATCACAGTAAAATCATAGCTATCCAAATCTCTCTCGTTTCCATAGAAAAAAACAGTCATAAGATTGTATAGAGAAAAAAAATATGAGTTGCTATAGATATTGAGCTTACAGTCAATTGAGACATAATCAGCATAAATACAAAACTTTTTAATGTATAGATGAAATTTTAACTGTCTAAAGTAAACCTTTTGAATCTAACAAAAATCAGAAAATAAAACCCAAAAGAAAAGCAAAACTTTACAAGATACCCAAAGATTAGAGGTCTTGTGTTGCAAAACACAATAAATCGCCATTGTTGCTTGATCTCAACGAGACAGCGACGGCGAGGATGAGCCCGGCGAAGCTTGAATCCGAGTCCAAGCATGGCGATGTAGGCAGAGCAAAACGATGGAGATATTCCGGTGACGCGAGACAGATGCGGTGATTGCGGCGGAGAAGAGGAAGAAGACTCACCAGAAACACCATAATATTAAGATCAAAACAAAGATTTTGATTTTCTTTTGAGAGTGATAGTCACTAACGAAAAATAATTGATATGTTGGAGAAAAAGAAAGTGATAAGAAACTTTTATAAAGTTATAAGTTTAGGAAAGAGATAGAAAAATACAGAGGAGTTTCGAAGAGAAGAAAGAGAAGAGAGAGATTAATTTAATTTAAAAGGATATAGGTCTGTAGGTTAAGTAGGGGCAAAATGGCTATTAAAAAAAGAGAGAATAACATAGTGGATCACTTTATGACTTTACCCAACATCATAAGTCACTTTGTGCTATTAGGACACTTTTTTAAAACTTATTACGTTGTATTCTAACCAAAACGTAACTAGACTAAAAATAAGGACCCACTTCTCTTTCATGTTCTTCTTGTCTTCTTAACTTTTTTTTTCAGATTTGCTTCTGCATTTTTCCCCCAGTAATCACGAAATCAGTTTCTTCTCTATGTTATGAGCACTACACCAACACTTCATTTGTCCTTGCTCGAGGTATAATGTATGAAACCATTGTAAACGCCAAGATGCAACTCAATTACAGAACACAATTAATAAAAAAAATTAGCTTCTCGAGTTCAAAAGCTTGAAATTGGGTCTTAAATGACATTCCTACAACAAATCACTTCCGCGTCGAAGAAGCACCTCTACTCCGCCGTGCTCAGATCCATCATCGAAGAATCAGCTACAGTGAATCGTCATATCCAGCCATTAAATCTGTGTCATTCAAATAATTCACATTTTTAGGTTTTTATCTTGAAAATGGGGTGTGATATGTTGAATATATAAGCTTGAAACCTAAAAAACAAGAAAAACGAAAAAATGGATGAAGGCTGTGAAAAAATCAAAAATCGGCAGCTCTGAAACTGTTCTCGTGACCCTAAAACATTAAGAGGAAGAAGATGAAATAATTACAATTATGCCATTAGTTATTTAAAACCTATGTACACGAAAAATTCACAATCCACATGTACAACGATTTATATGTACAGTTGTTAACTTGTCTAATGATTCATGTATTCACAGTAAAAAAAATTCATCAAAACCATATATCATTTTTTTGCAGAACCATAATCTTAATTTCAAAGTTAACCAAAAATCTTATTTGAGCGCAAAAATAAAAGTTTCATTTTAGCTAAAACTACAAAATACGAAAGTAAATGATTTTGTTAAACACTAGTAAACATGGTTTTATGGTTTTCAAATAATTGAATTGTTAATGTTTTTTCTATAATTTTCTCTTTGGTTTGGAATGGTTTACATATGTACAAAGATTATATGTGTACAGTTGTACAAATTAAATTAATGTACCATGTACGCATATACGTATGTACATGTGTACACCGTCAGTGTGTACACATATTATTAAGTTTTTTTGTACGCTTTTTTTCCACTACGATTTACTTGAAAAATAGTAGCATACACGTGTACATCAAAAGTAAAATTTTTTACATTTTGAAAACAATCATTTACAGAATTTTAAAATAAGTCTAATATCGTTTAAGCATTATATTGATTCGATTATATCATATTAAGTGTTGTTCTAACATGTGTATGTAAGCAATAATATTCATAGGTATGTGTATAGCCGTAATTATGTGTATGAGTACATAATATCAATTTACATGTGTACAATTGTCGTTGTGCACATGTGTATAGTCGCAATTATGTATATGAGTACATAATATCAATGTACATGTGTACAATTGTTGTTGTGTACAGATGTACAATACGACAAAGTGTACTATCATACATGCGTACAATAAATATGGAGGTGTGTACATGTATATGGTAAATATGAGCAACGATAACAGAGATTGTAATGGGAAACTCTTGGAATGAGCAACAATAACAGAGATTGTAAATAAAAATCCAGAGAAAAGTTCAAGCATGTATATTCAAGATCGAAACTTTACAAGAAGGACATCCTAAGAAAATTTGACAAACATTAGTAGAAACTAGATTGATTCCAAGATCAAAACTTTAAAAACACCGAACACCAAAATCTGCAAGCTTGAGCACTCAATGATCAGATATTAACACATTCACATGGTTTGCGGATGATCGAATATGAATCTGAAAGGGTAGCATGGACATATAAACACAGTGAGATAGTTCACTATTCTATATGTTTCTAAATCAACCAGTAAGCACAATTCCCATATAGTACACATATCTATAGGTTTTTAAGCATTAATGAATCGTCAAGATCCCTTGAAGATAAGGAAACAATAAGGTTTCTAGAATCGTATAAAAATGGAATCAGAGATTTACATATGAATCTGATGAGCCTGAGCTCGAGTTCGTCATGGCGGAGGACCATGTTAGTGATGGGATTCTAGTTGAACTGTTTTTTTTAGACGAAAACGAATCCTCCACCAAAGCTTGTAAAGTAATGAGATCTGCGCCATGAGAGAGAGAGAGAGAGAGAGAGAGAGAGAAGCGTTGGAGATCTCGGAGAAGAGAAGACCTGTGGAGAATGAAGAACACTGCAGGTGGATGGAGCTCCCCATGGTTAAAGATTCTGGTGGAGTTGCTCGTCGACTTGGGTAGTCTCGATGTCCATTGTAGATAATGGTGAATCACCCCCCAGAAAATTTTAGTTCAGATTTTTTTTAAATGATAAAGAAGAAGATAAGATAAGAGAATGTGGACCACCCATTATAATATAGTTTGCTTTAGTTAGAAAACTTAACGAAACCAACAAATAATTAAAGAAAAGTGTATGTGTATAAGAAAGTGTCTCAGAATGATATTAATAAGTAGAAATGTGACTCTGAAAGTAATATTCTCTTAAAAAAAACAGCTCAGCATAGATATTATCTTTTCCATCTACGCAAATATCACACTTATCTGTGTATATGGAATGCAATTTCTCTAGAAATAATCAACTAATTAACCAAACCAGCGGGGCAAAACAGTAAACAGGTAAAGGCTATTTGGGTAAAGTGAATAAAGAGAAGACGTGGCTTCACGTGCTAAGCTATGATCGTGCGTTGAAGATGCTTTGTCTCTTGTTAATAAAATACAATTTCTGACGTCCATTAACTTAATGAGCCCAACCAGCTTAATAATTGGGCTTACATAAGATGTAAAAGAATTATTTGGGCCACAAACTTGGACCGTGTTTGATCTGAACCGTTGTTGACTAATCAATCATACTCATGTCTCATGCACAACAACGTCTTACATTTTACACCACATAAAGGAGTAGCCCTAGGCACGATGCGCAGGTGGTGATAGAAACAAAAACAATTTATTATTATTAATGTATAATCTGGGAGCACCTGTTCTTGATCCAATGAAACCCTTTTTTAACCGTAGTTTTAACTTTATCTTCCATCGCGTAAACCTTGTACGTCGCGATTCTCTTCTTTCTCTTCGTTTCAGGGGTGATGAAACTCCATGGAACAGGAACATGAGCACTCGTATGTGTGGTCGGAACTCCTCCCGGTGGAGGTGGGATAGGCAGCTTAAAATCTGACGTGCCTGACTTGGTCGAGTGAAACTGGTTTTCTCCACCAACGCCGTAACCCTTACCGTTAACAATCTCCATCCATTGGTCAATGGCGAGTGTCCTCGGATTAGTCCCGAGCCCGTCCATTTTCCTTAGGTCGGAGCTCTGTCCGAAATGGAAAAGACCCTCCGGTTAAGGTTTTGAGATCAGATGGTCTTTAATTTAAAAAGTCAATTAATATATGGAGCAGTTAGAGGCTGTGCGATCGATGAGGCGCATTTTCCTTTTTGAATGATGGTTAATAATTTACGAAAATAAAAAGACAACTGGTAAGAAAAAAATAGGTAATGCAATAATCTATATTTGTCTTGTTTTTTTCCTTCCAAGACATGTAATACTACTATATATGTATGTTCCAAATAGTTCGTTCAAATGTAAAACTCATTATCAAAAAGACAAGCTTTTTCATTGAAATAATTTATAATAATAGTTTTATAGAAATATTTGGTGTTTCCAGACATTTTTAGATGCTTTGTATATAGCTACTATATATAAATGTTGCTTACAAATGGGTCATATTAAATTTAGCCCATTTTCAGATGACTCTAAGCCTATGTATGAAGCAAACATGATTCCGGGAAGAAAAAGAAGTAGAAATGAAGTCCCGCATGCATTTTTCATAACATAACGCCACGTAGACACTTTAAAGCAACGTTATTTGTTTTTGTTTTTTTGTAAAAGGATATTCTAAGAAAACTTTTTTTATAACGGCTGATATATTACTTCATGAAGAGATTACAAAGTCATTATGCAAAATCATAGTAATTGAACATGGTACATAATGATGAAAGAAAAACGAACAGTTATTAGGAACATCAGCTTTGGCTAATTTATCAGCAACTTTATTCTAAGAAAACTTATTTGTTAGCATATGAACCGTAAAGAGCTGAGTTATTTGTTTAAAGAGGTAATGATATTATATATTCACACAATGACAATGTTACACGCATACGCAGTGGCGGAGGCAGAAAATTATTTTATTGGGGGCATAGATGTTAAACTAAAGTATGATATTAAATAAAAAATCTCTTAAACTGAAATAGTCTTACAAATATTATTAAAAAAACTTATAAGCATACTCTACGTTCAGCCATGGTTTGAAACTTTTTCACCACTGTTTCATTTGTCACCGATGCAAACAAATCCTTTTCANCAGTGGCGGAGGCAGAAAATTATTTTATTGGGGGCATAGATGTTAAACTAAAGTATGATATTAAATAAAAAATCTCTTAAACTGAAATAGTCTTACAAATATTATTAAAAAAACTTATAAGCATACTCTACGTTCAGCCATGGTTTGAAACTTTTTCACCACTGTTTCATTTGTCACCGATGCAAACAAATCCTTTTCAATAAAGCAAACAAGACAATCACTTAAAAATTGATCTCCAATTCGGTTGCGTGAAGCCGTCTTCACAAACTTCATGGCAGAAAAACATCTCTCAACAGTTGCCGTAGCAACTGGCAAAGTTAGTGCTAACTTCAAAAGTCTGTAAACTAGAGGATGTGCAAGATGTTTCTGTGTTTCAACCATCAAACGAGAAAGATCTCCAAGACTCTCCAAGTTATTAAATCGGCCATCCTCTCTTATATTATCAATGTAGATGTCAAGTTGCTGCTCAAGAGAAGAACGCTCAAAAAAACTAAAATCGTCTGGATAGAACTCAACCAATTTTATGAGCTTCTCTTTGTCAAACAACTTGAACGAATTTGCAGGACTTAAGGAAGCCATACAAATAAAGAGTTGGGTGTTTACCTCAGTAAAACGATCATTGAACTCTTGCAGCTGCAGATCCAGAACAACATTGAAGCAACTGATCTTATAATGATGTAAATTGGTTATGTTGCTTTTCTTTCGTCGCATCCCAGAACCAACAAAAGTGTCTTCCATCATGATCATTTCAATATCATGTTTCTTACAAAACAAAGAAACTTTAACCATCAGAGAGTCCCATCCATCATCTCTAAGTTTCTGTAGTGCTCGCTTAGTTGATTCGACCAATGAAACAGCATTCAGAATGTCTTGATTTTTTTGTTGCAAAGCCATAGATAAATTTTCCGTTAGTCCCAAAATAAGCAGCATCAACTGCATATAGAAGACAAAATCAAAAGTACACAAGTACTTAATAAGACCATATGCTTGTCGTTTGTTTGAGTCATCATGGCCTTCATTCTGGATATATTCAAGCACCTCAATAACAATTGAAAACAACTCGACCAGACGCACTAATGTCTTATGATGAGAACCCCAGCGAGTATTTGATGGCCTTGGAAGAGAACACTCTTGATTCTTCCCTTTTCCAGTGCTAATTTCACCACTGCTGATTCCTTTCTCGATTTCCTTACGGTATCTTTCTTTAAGTTCATCTTGGCGTTTGCAAGAAGCTCCAACTACATTCAATAATGTAGAAATCATATCAAAAAAACCACCAACTTCAAAATGTTTCTTCGCGACTGCCACTACTACCAACTGAAGCTGATGAGCAAAGCAATGAACATAATAGCTTGAACTGCTTTCCCTTAAAATCAAAGACCGGAGACCATTGAATTCACCCTTCATATTACTCGCTCCATCATAACCTTGGCCTCTTACACTTTTCAAGCTCAAGCCATATTTAGCAAACAAATCATCAATAGCTAGCTTAAGTGTCAAAGAAGAAGTTTCTTTTACATGAACCACACCAATAAATCTTTCTTTGATTGTTCCACTCTTATCGACAAAGCGTAACACAACAGCCATTTGTTCCTTGTGAGAAATATCAGCAGATTCATCCACCAATAGACCAAAAACACCATTATCAACTTCTTCAATAATAGATTTCACAACTTCTTCTGCGAAACAATGCACAATGTCTTTCTGAATCGGTGGAGAAGTCATTTGGTTATTTTTTGGAGCATTCTCCAAAACAACCTTACTTACCGCTTCGTTCTGGTCTGCCGTGTATCTTATAAGTTCCAGAAAATTCCCTTTATTACCAGAATCTTCTGATTCATCATGAGCACGGAAAGGTATTCCTTGTCGCAGCAAATATCTAGAAGCATCAACTGAAGCATTCAACCGAAGACGGTATTCATTTTTCACCACATCATCATGCTTATAAAAAGCCTGGGCAATGGAATGTTTCTGATTCATCAAAGAATCACACATCTTAACAGCAATATTGTGAAAGCTATTCATACCACCCACATGAGAAGCTAATCTCTCAGACTTATTCCAACTAGAAAAACCTTCTGTCACAAACTTATCATTTCCACCTTGCTTATGTATGTCATCTCGAAACAAGTAACAACACAAACAATAAGCTCTATCCGTCGTTACGCTATACTCAAGCCAAGTACCATACTGATCAAACCAAGCAGGACTAAACCGCCTCAAAGAATTTGCAATCATCTTTTTCGGAAAATTATGACCATACGGTTTACAAGGACCTCTAACTAGATACTTGCGTCGTACCTCATCTCTTTGATTTGAATCATATGCATTGATTTTTTTCCTTTTAGCAGGATCCCATGGTAAATCGTCCAAATTTTCTTTAGGCGTTGGTGTGAAAGGCCTTTTAAGAAATTTTTCCATTGATTTGTCTGAAAACAAAAGTGTTATGTTATTAGTTTATATCAAATATAGAATAAAAGAAAACAAATACTTTAAACGTTGACTCTGATTCATGACTCACCAAGTGATTGATAAATGAATTTTGTTTGTTTCAGAAAAAAAATATGAAAGTTGGAAGAGGCAGAAAATACTAACGAGAGAGATGATATTGTGATAATTTTAGGTTTTCATAATTTTGGGTTTTGTTCATTAAAATAATAAGTGGGCTGAAATACATTATTACCTTTTGTATTTGTTAATGGATTTAAACAAATGTATGGGGTCAAAAAAAAATTCTGAATGGGGGCACTATATAGATTGGGCTTTAAGTTACACAGATTTTTCTAATTTTGTTGGGTTCATTGCCCCCCTCTCATTGAACGTGGCTCCGCCACTGNGGTTTTGTTCATTAAAATAATAAGTGGGCTGAAATACATTATTACCTTTTGTATTTGTTAATGGATTTAAACAAATGTATGGGGTCAAAAAAAAATTCTGAATGGGGGCACTATATAGATTGGGCTTTAAGTTACACAGATTTTTCTAATTTTGTTGGGTTCATTGCCCCCCTCTCATTGAACGTGGCTCCGCCACTGCTAATGAACGATAGCAGCAACCAAATCTTGTGCTAGTGTACTTTATACTTTAGTATTTGAACGAGATCTGTCGAGCAAACTTTTCTTCATCATGTAACTTTAGGTTTAATTATACTGTATATATGATAAGAAAAACATTGAGGTCACTGTGTGAAATGTTTAATATTCCTTTCGTTTTACACGTCTCACGCAGCCTGCTTCCCATAACGAGGCTATTTGATATCTAGGAAAAGTATTATGAAAATCTACCCTCTAGGCCCATTGTATGCTTGAAACTTCTAAAGCCCAATCAGTTAAAACTAGACATAGTCAATTCTCAAAGGACCATTTTAACAAGTCTTGTATTTCTTTCTATACAGCTAAGCTCACGTCGTTTTATGATTTCCCACTTTCTCAGTTACTATAGACTACTGAATTATACTTTTAGTGTCGAGTATGTACTTTGGTGTGATGTATAAGACTCCGTATTAATATGCTTCATTAGAAAGGTATAGGCAAGGTTCGAGAACTCGCTAGGCGCTAGTCGGGCAGTTGGGTTGGGCCTAGCGCCTAGGTAACAAATCGGGGATTAATCGTAAATAAATCGGGGATTAATTTTAAAATTTTAATTCTATGTATATTGGATATATATTAACATATGCCCAACATAACCAAAGAATCGATTCCTCCTAGTGATAGAGTCCCTTAGTTGTGATGCTGGCCAACCCGACTTCGACGCCCCCAAGTACATTTTAAACTATTTTCGATTTATTTGTTTTAACTCTTAAGGGAAAACATCCCTCTTAAGAGAAAACATCCCACATCGGTTGCACAAGAAAAAAATAAATGGACGATTAATCAGTTAATGGGCCGACTAATTTGTTTAATGGGCCGATTTATTGGGCTCCGATTATTTAACC